TATGGTTGACCTGTTCGTTCCAACGTAGGTCACTCTGAAGGCGGAGGCCGAGTATCTTCAGGCAGGGGACAACAGACAGAACTGAGGAGTCAATCCGCAGTGGGGGTAACAGTGGTGGGTTTCTGCAGAATGTAATGTGCATTGCCATGCACTTGCTACTGTTCAGGAGCATGTGGTTGTCCATTGTCCAGGAATGTAGTTGGTCAAGGTCGTTTTGGAGACAGGACGGCAGATGGATGGATCTTGTTTCAAGAAAGTTCATGTCGTCTACGTATTTCAGGGCATAACTGACGGCATCACTAGCGGCATCGTCGATCAAAACGAGGAAGAGTATAGGTCCCAGTAATGTGCCTTGGGCAACTCCGCAAGAGAGGGTAACCCAGTCGGAAAGGGCTCCTCTATACCGTACTCTCTGTTTTCTCGCAGAAATGAAGTCGCACACCCACGGAACGAGCTCGGGCCTCAAACCCTTGTTGAGTAGCTTAGTGATCACTGTATTATGGTCCACTCTGTCAAAAGCCTTAGTAAAATCAGTGGCTACAATGGTGCTGATGGTTGCTGGTGTGTCGGCTCCAAGGGATAGTCTGTCCACCAGGCTTAAGAGGGCGTGAACCGTGGAGCGGCCCTTTAAGCTGCCGAACTGCCGTTGGTCTAGCTTAATGTCGTCTGTAATCCACTTAGAGGCAAAGAATTCCGCAATCTTAGCAAACTGGGGGGTCAGTGATATGGGCCTCAACTTGTCCAGTGTAGCAGGTTGGGACTTTGGAACAGGCACAACCACGGCTTGCTTCCACTGGTGAGGGACCACGCCAGTTGCAAATGACGCATTGAGGATGTGGCAGAGGGGAGAAGTCAGCTCACAGGCAAACTCTTTAATCAGTTTCGGTGGGATGTTATCAGGGCCTGAGGCTTTGTTTGGCTTTACTGCTCGAAGACGCTGGTAGACATCCCAGTCAAGTAACCTTGGCAGCTGTTCAGGGGAGGGGAGGAAGGACTGCAGGGGTCTTGGCAAGCAGGATTCTCTGCCCTCCCCGCCCGTTCCACTCACCATGGCGGAGCTACAGAAGAAGAAGGTAGATTTGGAGGCGGCCATCAAGGGGGTTGAGCTCCGACGAGAAGTAGAGGCACTGGAGCAAAAGTTACAGCGAATGCAGTCCCCCTCGGCCCAACCCCCTTCCTCTGCGAGTGCGGGCTCCCCGGTTCTCCCGGCGGTTGGTACGTCCGTCTCCGGGACAGCATCGCACCACGACCCGAGGGTCCCCCCACTCCGCACATGGTGCCGACACGGCCCTCCCACATAAAATCGTCGCGGGGCATGAGAGTGCATCATTCTGTTAATGTATTCCCCCAAGTCTTCCCTCATTCCTGCTATTGTTGCTATTTCCCCCCAGTTGAAGCTACACCATGAAGCTGTTTGTCTGCGCACTGCTTGTGACGATCGTTGCTGTGGCGATGCTGGTTGACGACGCCCAAAGCTGGAGGAGGAGGAGGAGGAGAAGGGCCCCTGGTAGGTTTGTGAAGCATTTCTAAAACTAGACAAAGGTAACATATGCAAAGCAAACGCATCACGTGAACCCTTGTCCTGCTGTTTTTTTTACGTATTTTTTTCATTAATTTCATATCTTTACCAGGTCATGAAACTCATATGGCGAATTCAGTGCGTTTCGCTGCGGTGCAATGCGTTCATGTGAGAAATACTCCCAACCCATATATAAGTATACCTATAAATATATGTGCAGCCCATATACATGTATATTTAATATATAGTATATGGATCCAACAGATGTAAGGCCTGGGAAAAAATGTTTTATTTCCTGTTTCCCAACCGACCCTGGACTTTTTTTTGTGTGGACAAGGGACATACATTGTTTTTGAGCTGATTGACCTTTTCTAGCTCCATGATCTGACACCCCAGCTAGTGATAAAATGTTGTACAATCAGATTTCCAACATAATGATTGCTATTGAAAATATAAGTGTCCTGATGTAAGTTTTACTTTGTTAATCTGTATTGTATAAGTTGGGAAAAAAAGATAATCCCTACCTACCGATCCTAGTTTTATCAGGACTGAAACAGGAAAGACATCATTTTTACTAGGCCTTAGCAGGATATGGATAGCAATATCTTATGCCTTTCTATGCTTCTTCCAGCTGATAATACGGCGCAAGAGCTGAGGGAGGTTGTGGAAGAGACAGGGGACATCCTGGATCTTCTAGAGGAGAAACAGGAGCAGCTGCTGGAAGAACTCCAGGAGAATCCGGAGGAGGAAGACTGTAAGAAATCTCACTTTTTGCTCCTTTTTTCCTTGCAGGACTCCTGTATGTTATTCGTCCAATCAATACATGAATAACAGGCTTATCGATTAATAGTAACTGCGCATGATATTGGGACATAACAGCTTTTTTCAGCATGAGAGAGAAAAGAGTTATTAAACTTTGGATGTTTGTTACTGCAAAGTTTGTTGTAATTCATATAAGGGACAGATTCTTGCTAATCATCTATTCCGCTCCAACCCTTTAATCATTATACCCTGACATACATGCCCTTCACTTCAATACATGTACGTGTGCCTTCATGTAGGTAAGGAAAAGGAAAAAAATCTGATTTGTTTGACATGTTTTTTCAGTGCAAGAAATCTGCAGATAGGAAAATGCTTCAAGGTTTTATATATTCCCGGCCTCATCCCTTTATTTTCCTATTGCTATAGTTTGTGTGTATTTCTTTGTTTAACTTGAAGCTTTGTGAATTGTCTTTCGTACTTTACAGATGCCAAAAAGTGACGCTAACTCCTGTAACCTGTAGCCTACCGGACGACCAAAGTTTTCAGTGGCGTCAACAGGACAGGACTGAACGCTAGGTTCAGATCCTGGAGTAAAAATCGTTTAAATCTTCGGTGATTATTCAATAAAGGTTCTTTCTGGAGAAAACGTGAATAAAGTGTTTGTTTTTGGTTACAATGAATGTGGGGGGAGTGTGAGAGAGAATGCAATTATTAGAATGATTACAGCCTAAAGGTAAAAACCTATATAATGACTGTTTTGAACATGTCACGGTAGTTTTACCACCAGGAATGCTACTTTGTGTGTCGCTACCTCCGGGCAGATGCTATCTCCTGTCACCAGGCTTTTAGCTAGGATTTTTATTTGTTGGGTGTCCATTTTTTTATTGTATGCTATGTGCAGGGAAGATGCGTAGTGCACAAGCTTCTTAGGGGGGCTTTTTTGGCGACGCCTGAGCATTTTATAGAGTATGTTACGATCAATCTGAAAACAAATTCAGAAAATTGCACGAATGCATTCCCAAGGGAATTAATTGGTTTTGAGGTAGGCTCCGACCATGTGGTCTTTTTACCGAGTAGGAAAGGCCTATGTTACCATGCATCCAAAAGCCACCATTTCTGACAAACTGTGGCTTTTTTCACACAGAACATTAATGACTGTCTTTATTGATATTTCAAATGTGTTCTATCAAGATAGAATAAACAAAATAGAATGATTTTGTTGCTCATAAGAAAGAACTAGAAGCAGCATATCCAAGCTTAATGCTTCAAAATAAATTTTTAGTTTCAACTAAATATCGACATGTGACCACCTGTGAATGTCGGTATAATAGAAACGACTTCCATTTTCTTTTCTTTTACGAATCAGACCACGGATCTCGGTAAAAGCTAGAAGTACTAAAATATATATAATGTTATGATTCCATTATAAACACGCGTACGTTGCCGTCTTTTTATCAAGCCGCTCGTGCCCCAGGTTTTACCGAGGTGAGGCGCACTTTACCTCAGCACCTGCTTACGTCAGGCAATACCATGGCAACAAATAAAAATGTTTGTTGAAATAATAAAATGGACGCAGAAATTGTTACAGATCTAGCACGAGTATGCCCCTGCCGCACGTCAGCCGAGGCTGATGATGTCATCAGAAAACCGCATGCAGTACTCAAATCACATCCTTCGTTTATTAAGCTAAGGCCACACCAAGTAAATTATATGGATGACGTCTGCGCGCGCATTGATTTTGGCCTCTTCCTAGAAAAAACACAAGAAATTTCGCTTCCTGTAACTATGACCAAAGAGTCACGACAGTGTCGCAAATCGTCAGATTGACGTGAAACCCGTAACGCGAAGAAAGTGTCTATTGACAGGACCATCCTGTCAATAAAAGAAAATGTTTCACTGTCCACTGTTCCGCCTGATTTATTGCTGTTTTGATGATGAATAAAAGACTTCTTGCCTGTTACACTGTGTCACCTCATTCAATTTGTGTCCTAAAATGTGTTGTCTAGTATATTTCTAATCTAGGCATCTTGTTCTTTAGGGCCCTTCTTCAAGTTCTTGTTTTTTCGCCCTCTCGCATTAGATTTAGGGTCTCCAAAGGACGTCATCCATAAAATTTACTTGGTGTGGCCTAAATTAAATTGAATGCATGTTGAATATAGGTACTAGCAGGATATGCGACATTGTGTAAGGCATAGGGAAAACATGCTGTGTTTTAGGTCAATGACCGATCCTAGGGATTGGATCCTACGTCAATGACCGATCCTAGGTGCGTGCGTTTTTTTTTTTTTTTTGCATAACTGGTAAAACCGCCTTTAGGCGCAACACACCAGTTTTGTGGTCAATGAGTCCTAGCTAGGTCAATGACCGATCCATATATAGGTGAAGGCGTTTTTTTTTTTGCATAACTGGTAAAACCGCCTTTAGGCGTAACACACCAGTTTTTTGGTCAATGAGTCCTAGCTAGGTCAATGACCGATCCATATATAGGTGAAGGCGTTTTTTTTTTTGCATAACTGGTAAAACCGCCTTTAGGCGTAACACACCAGTTTTGTGGTCAAGCTGCGTAAGACCGGTCTTAAGGTTTAAACAACTCACACCGGGAATTTCCCTACTCCTTTCGATAAGTGCGGTGGGTTCTTTAACGTGCGTGGGGTGTGGTTCTGCCAAAACACGGGACCTCCATTTAACTATCCGAGGGATGTCCCTAACCGAAGCTAGGTACTCATTTACACCTAAGTGAAGTGAGGAAAGTCATGTAAAGTGCCTTTCCCAATGGCACAATATATCGGTGACATGGGTAGGATTCGAACCCGCGACCTCTTGCCTTGGGTGTGAGCTGAACGCGCTACCGACTGCGCCACACGACCCCACCTGTAACATATCGTTTTGATGGAAAGTCCCGCTCATGGCGGGTAAAAAATTGGCCCAATCTGTCATCTCAGTGACGCCCAAAATATTGGCGTGTAATAGAAAGAGCTTGGAAGTTTTCGGCGGAGGTAATTAAATCATAAGATATTAGCACCTGCCCGATGCGACTCAAGCTATAGTGTTCTGGCATGGCAGGACGGGCCGGTACATACAAACTTAAAAGGCGGCCGACGTGACATAACTTAGGCGCTAGCTAGCCTCCACCAGGCTTGGGGAGGCGGATGGAAAGAGAAGAAATCGGCCGAATTGAGAGATAATCATGCCAAGGGAGTTTGTCCGTTGAGAGATGTTCTCCGTTGAGAGATGTTCTCTCAACGGACAAACTCCCTTGGCATGCCGATTTCTACTCTTTCAGCCGCCTCCCCAAGCCTGGTAGAGGCTAGGCGCTAGCTACATATAAGTTTTGTTGACAGTGCACGTGCGGTCATTGTGCGTTTTTACTAATGTTAGCCGAAAATAAACTCTGCGCGCTGTGAGGTTAAAGACACAGCAATGCACAGGACGCAGTTTATTGACGTGTGACTTGGGCAGTGGTACCACTATATATTGCGTCCTTCCGCTGTTATGGGACTTGGCCCTCCTTCAGTGAAGTGTTGATCATGTCTTCTATAGGTGTGCTGAACTCGTAGGCAAATTCTCTCAATACCTTCGTACTCAGTTGATCTGGGTCTGGGGCCTTACCGACTTTCAGTGCACTGAGATGTTGAATACGTCCCAGGGGTAGACCTCTGGCGGTGGGGCTTTGCATGGCAAATAATATATGCTGGTAGTTGTGTGAAGTCCAGACCGTCCGGGCGACCTTGGGCGACTGTGGCGACCTGCTGGTGTATATGATTGGCAGTGAACAGATAGAGAGTCTGCCGCCTCATTCCCCTGGATGTTTAATACATCGTGCCCGTAGCCAGGATTTTGAATGGGTGGGTTCTTCCCACTGCTTGAGGGGACCTCTAGCGGTTCCTAGGGGGGTCCGTGGGCATGCTCCCCCGGAAAAATTTGAAAAGTGAACCTTCAAAAATGGCATTTCATACATTTTTGAGAGGATTTCCAAGAAAAAAATCAGAGATAAATTTTTATTCAATGACAAAGGGAGCTGTTTTTCAACGATAATTTTCAAGAAAAATCTTGGACCTTTACATAAAATGTGACCAAAAAGTGGACCTTTACATAACATGTGGACCAAAAAGTGGACCTTTGAGCCTTGTAAGGGGGTTCTTCCAACCCCCCCCCCCTGGCTACGGGCATGTATATGACTTCCTTGTGTTGCATGTTGAGCAGACTTCTCAGTTCCCTGTGCTGTACCAAGTTAGTTGTGTGTTTTTACATGAGTAAGCAGGTCGCTTCTATGCCAAAGGTCATGACGCAAGCGCAGTGGTGAAAGCCCTCTTTCGCGGGCTGATTTTTTGTGTGTGCAAGTCTGGCGCAGAAATCTCGTTGTTGTTGTTTGTTATAAAGACTTTACAGCACACATAGAGGAGACAGCAAGGACACTGAGCCATGGCGTATAACTACGTGGTGACCGCACACAAGCCCACGGCCGTCAACGCCTGCGTCACAGGTATTATTTCACGTAGTGCGAACTGAGGAGCATGAAGGGGGAGGGGGGCAGAGAGGCGACCTAACAAAAAATTTAGATGTTTAAACTTTAATCTTGCTCGCGCATGTGTTCGTGAATGCTTGGTCGTATATTAAGTTTTTATTTTGTTAGTCTGAAGCTGGAAGAAAATAAGTTAAGCATAAGTTAAAATCAAAAAGAATACAGCGTTCAGAGGGGATTTGATAGAAAACACGTCTGTTTATATAATATTTCGTAAGTTTCAAACAAAGTCGGGTTTCTATGTAAAATTTATGGTGTGACAGGCATTGCAGTGGAACAGAGAGGTTGCATCAGAGCTCTAAGTACACACATACAGGTTAGTGCAGGTATGCAGAAAAATCCCTTTAAAGTTAAACTTCAATGTATGAAATATGATTTGATTTATTTTTTTTATTAAAACCGTACAAATTAAGATGTAACGTTATACATGTTGAGCCCAGTGTGGTATTATGCACCTCCATTACATATCACAGAGCACATTACACATTACAAAAGTTGTTGGTTTAACATCAAATTAGATTAAATCATCACCTCTAGTTTTAACCTTTAGGATTTCGTGAAGTAGCTATTTGGCTACAAATTCTGTATTGTTAAATACAGGGCTGAGCATCAGGGTGAAAGCTGCATTATGTAACATTTGATGATACAAAAAGTAAATTTTCTGATCATTTCTTAACAAAGTTCAATAAAGCCTACTGAAAATGTGCAAATTCTGCCATTCGGGCCAAAATATGATGCCTCACAAGTGTGCTTAAACGTTACAGGTAATAAAAGCTTAAAACACAGCTTTCATAATAGCCGTGGACGACTCTGTAACCCTTTTTGCATGATAATGCCGGGTACATAGTCGTGGTGCGATCCATAGGCCAAAACCAACCTTTGCCGTGCCGGGCCTCATGCAACGGGCCGGCCCCGGTTTTTTGGTGTCGCTGGCTTCCTAACGCACTCCCCTGCCGGGCCGGGGGGATAAGACCCTAAACAAACACAGCATTTAACCACAACACGGCCTCGGAGCACGTAACTCCATACAAATCATCGGCAATCGACGCCATATTGAATTCAGGAATCGGTCCGCAAAACAGGCCGGGCCCTGAGTTTACGACAGTTATTTTCAACTCTCCAACGTTCAAGCTGCAGGGATGTGACGTAATTTGTCGTAAACTCAGGGCCCGGCCTGTTTTGCGGACCGATTGCTGAATTCAATATGGCGTCGATTGCCGATGATTTGTATGGAGGTACGTGCTCCGAGGCCGTGTTGTGGTTAAATGCTGTGTTTGTTTAGGGTCTTATCCCCCTGGCCCGGCAGGGGAGTGCGTTAGGAAGCCAGCGACACCAAAAAACCGGGGCCGGCCCGTTGCATGAGGCCCGGCACGGCAAAGGTTGGTTTTGGCCTATGGATCGCACCACGACTATGTACTCGGCATTATCATGCAAAAAGGGTTACAGAGTCGTCCACGGCTACTTTCATAAATGCTTGTTTACATTTTGGTAGTTTGTGGTGGCACCACAAAATAACTCATGTGAGCTGCTTTAGTGGCAATTATAAATGTCAGAAATGTGAGATAATTGCACAGGTATGTTAAAAAAGGGCAAATAAATCTCAATCACACGAATATTCTTTTGGTGCAAAAATGTTACATCATACCCTTAAACAAAGTGGTAAGAAACTTAACATCTTCTGTCTATCCTGCAGGACATTTCACCGGTCCAGAAGACCTGAATCTGATCATCGCTAAGAACACGAGACTGGAGATTTACCTGGTCACTCCGGAGGGCTTGCGTCCGGTCAAAGAAGTCGGCTGCTACGGCCGTATCGCTGTCATGGAGCTTTTCCGTCCTCCGGTGAGTTTTTCGGCCAGGCTGATTTAATGTTATGGATGACATCAGCGTTTCCATTGATTTTTGCCTATTCTAAAAAAAACCTCAGGTTTATAAGACTTGGGGGAGGGGGAGAGTGCTAATGTAATCGAGGGAATACAGGGGCAAATTCTGCATTTTCATGCTTTTCAAAAGACAATTTCCCTCATTTCGAGAGGCAAATCATGGGGTTGCGAGTGGTTGTTGCTGGTCTTTTGTTCTTTTTATATTTAAGATTTTGCCAATTTTGTCAGGCAAAGTTGTCGGATACTCTGATTGGTTTGAAATTTTTCCGTCACACGCAGCAAATTCTTGAATTTGATGGAAAAACGGGTGCTGGCTAGGGCCCTGAAGACAGTAATGCTAATAGATGTTTATTAGGGCTCTGATTGAATGAGCTAGAACTGTTGCCATGCCAACTGTGTCTTGTTGACATAGGAAATAGGAAATACCTTTATTGTACATTTATGCCACGACGGGCTAGGTACAGGTCAAGATATAACAGACACATAACAAATGTATATAGAAAATTGGAAACAAAAGATGCACTACTTGACTTAGACATACATACATAAGGAACATACAAGGGTACTATACTAGGCTAATACAAAGTGTTCTAGTCACTGAGCTAATATAGAGAGGTCAACTTCTCGCTTTTTTGTACAGTGGAAAATGTGGGAGCAGATCATGTTTGTGATACAGGGTTTGTCTAGACGCATCAAAAATATAAATTTATCATTTGCGCTTAGGTGTTCAAAGTATGGGAACTTATCTTTGATATAATTAAAAAGGACAGATCTTTCATTTAGAACATAAAGTACGGTACAGTCTAAAATAAAGTGTTGTTCATCTTCTATTCTATTCATGTTACAGAATTGACAGAGTCTGTTCTGGAGAGGAATGCGGTTGTGCCGTCCCGTTTCTATGAGTAATTTGTGGCAACTTATTCGGAGTTTAGTTGCAGCTACCCTGTGTTGTATGTTTTAACCGATAGGTACTCTTCTTCTTTGTATATACTTTTAAACAAACGGTACGTTCATGTCCAGGGAGAGACTAAGGACCTGCTGTTCATCCTGACTGCCCGGTATAACGCCTGCATCCTGGAGTACAAACAGGACGGAGACGACGTCAGTATCGTCACCCGCGCACACGGAAACGTACAGGTCAGATAACAGTTTCATGGAACCACCTGAGTGTACAGCTAAAGGTCTAGGAAACAAAATGTTGTGTTTCCTGAAACACAATATTTTTTTTCCTAGGCCTAACTCTCATTGTGCACAGCAATACTTATCTTGCAAACAGAGATTGTCATTGTCTAAACACGTCTAGAGTGCACAGTCCAGTGGTAAAGTGACCTTGCCTTTGGACCAAGAGGTTGGGAGTTGGTATCCCGGCTGTTGTCCCTCACCCAACATGCATGTTATTATAAAGGGCCATGGTGCTCTGTTCATTGTGCTTGTTGAAAAGAGCTACTGGAGTTAAATGTGACATTTTACAACAAGTATTGTTGTGGTTGAAATAAAGATGAGATAAAATCTATTCCACAAGTGCTACAACAACAGAAACTCCATTTTGTTTGAGCAGGACAGAATCGGTCGGCCGTCTGAAACAGGCATCATTGGGATCATCGACCCAGAGTGCCGTATGATTGGTCTGCGGCTGTACGATGGACTGTTCAAGGTCATCCCTCTGGACCGAGACAACCGAGAACTCAAGGCCTTCAACATCAGGTGGGACATGTCTTTATATGTTTACCGAAGGAAAACATGTTGTTTTTGTTCTGTTTCCTCTTTTTTTTGTTCTTCTTCTACGACATGTAATAAGGTCAATGACCTGAACCAGACATCTGTCACCATGGTAACTGGTATTGGGTTACATAATGCTGCAAGTGCCATGCAGAACTGAGTTCAAGAGGGGCTGCATATCATCATAT